GTATTGTAGTAATTATGTCCCTCTAGCACTACTCCACTCCCTTCTTGTGGTTAACAGACCCTAGCTACATGATCAGAGTGAGGGCCTGTGATCAAAGCTGGGAAAGCAAAGGTCTCCTACCTCCCCAGTAGTCCTACAAGTGATCGAGGCTTTGGCCAGTCATTACAAAGGATTTTTCAGACTGTGGCCAGAAAATTGTAAATAATAATAATAACGAGTCTGCTCCATCCCAGCCTTCTCTGTCTAAAGTTATTTCTCTGCACAGTTATTCCCCTTACATGATCACAGTAAAAAACTCTCTCCTTAATACCCCTTGCTCAATCCATCAGCAAGTCCTATTGGCTTTTCCTTTCCAGTACATCCCAGATCTGCCACTCCTGCTGGCCTCCAAGTTTCCACTTTAGTTTTGGGCTACTGTGTCACTTGGTCTTGTGTTCCATTCTTGTCTTGTTAAAAGCCATTGTCCACAGAGCCAAATATATTTTTAAATCACAAGTCAAATCATGTAATTCCTCAGCTCATAATTATCCAATGAAATTCCATTACATTTTTTTAAAATTTCAATTTAAGGTTTTATTTATTTATTTATTTATTTATTTATTTATTTATTTATTTTTTTTTTATTATGTTCAATTAGCCAACATTTAGAACAAAATCCACACTTCTCTGGTCTGACATGCCTATATGTGATTTGTCCCTTGCTTACCTCCCCAAACTCATCCACCTAACTGCCTTGGGTCTAACATTCTTGCTCTTCCTTCAACATGGCATGCTTTCCCTGTCTTTATAGTCACTCTTTCCTCTGCCAGATTGATCATCATCCAGACCTACCAATGATTCCTCCCTTATTTCTTTCAAATTTTTTCTCAAATATTTCCTCGGAGGAAACATCTTTAACTGCTCTGGGAATACAGCCCCTCCCTCTCATGCGTGCCACCTATCAATCTCTATGCCTTATTGGTTCACAGCACTTAGCATTCCTTCATAGTTATATGTTCATTGTCTCACTTTCACTAAAATGAAAGCTCCATAAGGGCAGTGAACTTCTGTCTTGTTTATTGCTTTTGTGCCCAGGGCCTGGACATACACTGGATTAGATCTTCACTACATGGAGATAGTCAGGCTTCAGACAGACTGATGCCACCAAAAGAAGGAGTAGCAGAGGGAGAGAACTGGTGAGCTTTAGTTTCCAGAATCGTCTCAGCTAGCTCTATTCTTTACCTTTTTCGTCCAATGGTTAGGTGAACCAAAAGCCTCCTCTTTTTCTCTTTAGTAATTTGAATATGATTTCTGTCACTTGAGACTGAACGATCCCTCGCTAATAGCCAATTAAAGATTCAGTTTCAGGACTCAAGGCATTTTTGGAGGAAATACATAAAACACCGTAACTCTGTGCCCAGAACACTGTAATGAAGAACTCGATATAGCACAAAATTTTCACCTCCCAAGTTAGTCTCTGGATGCACAATGGGCCATTATTGACTAGTCAAAGACCTTTCCCTCCTCCATTGAGTATTTTGTTCTTTGTATAATTGTGTATTCCCTTCATCTGCTGGCTGAACGACTCAGCCTTGGCTGCTTCTTACCCTTCTTAACCTTTCCCTTCCCTTCCAGATTTGCAGATCATTTCAGAGTTGTGAAGGAAATTCTAATCAAAATTGATTTCACTTGGCTTCTATCTCCCACACACTAAGCAAATAATACATAAACCATATTCTTGAATACCTTTATCCCTACCCAATTTTAAAGCAGATTGGTTATCCACCTATCCACACCCCTGATTTTGCCTGATTTTGTTTATACAATTGTTCACATAGAGCTGCCACTTATTCCTGCATTCCAAGCAAAGATGATGACTTCACAGAACTCCACATGCCTGAACACACTGAAAATACCCCTGTAGTGATGGAAGGCAGTCTACACAAGCAGGGTAAGTGCCAAAATCCTGCATCAAACTCAAGGAAGCAAGTACATGTCTATGGCTGACTTCTCAGCTGTAGCACTATTACTGACATCAGGGGCTAAATATTCAAAACATAAGAGCTGTTCTGTGCATTGTATCATGTTTAGCAGCATCTCTGACCTCTATCTAAATGCCAGTAACACCACTTTTGTAACAACCAAAAATATCTAGACTTTAACAACTGTCCCCTAATGTGTGTATGTGTTGGAGAAAGGATTGCTCTCAGCTAAGAATGACTTGTGTACAGAGAAAGAACTTGTCTTGCAACTCAAAAAAATTAGTTCCATCCATTGAATAAACTATTATCCCTTAAAAATAGGCAGTAAGACAGGAAACAAACTGAGGGTTGCTGGAGTGGTGGGGGGTGGGAGGCATGGGATGGCTGGGTGATGGACATTGGGGAGGGTATGTGCTATGGTGAGCGCTGTGAATTGTGTAAGACTGATGAATCACAGACCTGTACATCTGAAACAAGATAGTAGGAAGGGAAAAATGAAGGGGGAAATCGGAGGGGGAGGTGAACCATGAGAGACAATGGACTCTGAGAAACAAACTGAGGGTTTTAGAGGGGAGGAGGGTGGGGGGATGGGTTAGCACGGTGATGGGTATTAAGGAGGGCACGTATTGAATGGAGCACTGGGTGTTATATGCAAACAATGAACCATGGAACACAACATCAAAAACTAATGATGTAATGTATGGTGACTAACATAACATAATAAAATAAAATAAAATAAAAATAGGCAGTAAGAGGTCCTAAATAGGTGAAGGTCCCAGTTTTTTAGAGAGTTGAACCAGTTTTCACAATCCTGGACTTTATAACCCAATATGGATCTATCAGGATTGAAACTGGTAGGTTAATGTGTTCTGTTTACAGATTTCAATTTTTAAAGGGGACCTATTGGGACTTCATCAAGATAAAAAGCTTTTGCACAGCAAAAGAAACAGTCGACAAAACCAAAAGACAACTGACAGAATGGGAGAAGATATTTGCAAATGACATATCAGATAAAGGGCTAGTATCCAAAATCTATAAAGAACTTATCAAACTCAACACCCAAAGAACAAATTATCCAATCAAGAAATGGGCAGAAGACATGAACAGACATTTTTCCAAAGACAACATCCAAATGGCCAACAGACACATGAAAAAGTGCTCCACATCACTCGGCATCAGGGAAATCAAAATCAAAATCTCAAAGAGATACCACCTCACACCAGTCAGAATGGCTAAAATGAACAAGTCAGGAAACGACAGATGTTGGTGGGGATGCGGAGAAATGGGAACCCTCCTACACTGTTGGTGGGAATGCAAGCTGGTGCAGCCACTCTGGAAAACAGTATGGAGGTTCCTCAAAAAGTTGAAA